CTCTGTTTGTGGTGTAAACTTTCCTGTTTTAATTAGGTTGGTTCTCAGAGTGAAAAGAGGAATGATAACAATACTATTGATTGCAGCCAGCACAGTACTGTTTGTACAAAGCCAATGTATCTCTCTATTGCCCAGAGCTGAGCATGGTCAAAAATAAACTTTGAAATGTAGCCACTATAACCAACTACTGTCTATAGCACAGATACTATACTTACTTTTGGAGATGCGATTCCTGACAGAGAAAGATCATGTCTACATTAAGTGTGGGCCTAGCCTTAAGCAGCACGATGATGTGTGCTTTGAGAAGGAGGCCAGGAGGTCTCTATGGAGAGTGGCTGTGATTCATGCCTGACAGAGACATCACTTCCACTGCGGGCCGACGGGATCACAGTCATGTCACCCAACCCATCCCAATCCCCAGCCCTTCAAAGTAAAGCCACCGTGATAAATCAGGGAAAGGGCCACGAGTTATCCCTGTGTGCCCTCTGCATCTATATACAGCAGTTTTCACCAGTGGCAAAAAATATTGTATTAAGCTTTGCCCACAGATATTGAAACCATCCTAAGTCAAATTAAGCTGTTTTAGGAGCTTATATTAGATGTTTTGATATATAAATACGTGTGGAGGAATACTATTTTGATGTTTGAGCCTTTACCAAGTCTGCTGTCTTTGTTTGCTCCTGCCCTGTCTTTTTTCCTCTCTGTGGACCATTCTATTATACTATAGTCAGAGTTTTTTGTACTCATTATAATAAATATATAGATGTTATTCTTGTTTCTTCTTCATGCTAGAGTTAGAGATTTGTATTTTGTTTTATTTAGTATAGAGTTTTTGTTCATTTATTGTGTGCTGTGTGCTCCTCATTCCTACTGTTCTGTAACTGATGATGCAACACTGAAATATGAAAGGATCTGAATAATAGATCTCTTATTTTCTTAATCTTAATCTAATCCGTGTTCGAAGTAACACTTGATGATAACAATAATAACAATAATCATGATAATAGCATTTGAAAGATGTGTATTGAGTTACGTTTGCGTTATACGGTGGTGACCTGACTTCTAAGTTGCTCCATTATCTTCCGTTATATCCATTGAGAAAAGAAAGTTTAATGACAAACTGTATAAATATCGTGGCAAAATGACACCGTTTGGTTTTAGTTGCTAAGATAATGTGTTTGGAAATCTTTCATATATCTCTTAGACCCAATATATCCAAAGAGTGACTTCCACCTCGGTTGAGGTGGTGATGAGGAGGAGGAGCAGGTTGCTGAACGAGCTGAAGCATAGTTCAGAGTTGGGAAGCACTGTTTTTGTGCATATACCAGGATAAACAACAACAAAAATAATGACAATTTCAAATCTTTATGCTTCGAATTGTATGTTTTTTTTTTTTCAAGCATACTTAGACTATATCCACACGAAGACAAAACGCTTATAATTTCAGAAACTTTTTCTGTAAACACGGAGTTAGCTCAGTAAATGTGTGCGTCCATATGAATGTAGTCAATACGCCTGAAAACGCTGTGAAACTATGCCAGACCTGTTGGTGGCGCTGTGACGCAATGACGGGATCAAGATTAGGACGATGAGGTTGAACTGTTGCTTCGGGTCGCACTGGATTACAAAACCAACAAGCTACATTGTTGTTGTCATTATTTTCTGAGTGCGGCGCATCCGTGCTTTAACAAGAGGCGGGGCGATGACGCAAGCGTCTCAGATACATTGCGGAGAGGCAGTAACCACGGAGCGGCATATACGGAGTTTTGAAATCTTTCCACTCTGGGACCTAGTTTCAAAAATGTTCGTTTACACCCCCCCAAAACGCCGGCCTCGTATGGACGATACACTGGATTGATAAAGTATTTTTGCGTTTAGGCCTGAGCTTGACTTCGTGTGGACAGGGCCTTAGACACAAACACAAAATAGACACACACACTGGTCACATCTCACCAATCATTTGTAAATCCTGCAGTTTATGGGTGTATGAAGAATGAAAGTATAAAAGATGAAAAGGGTTTTGGCGTAATAACATGTATCAGGAGAATTAAACGCTCGGTTATGCTTTTGTGGTAAACAATTAGTGTGAAAACAAATTAAACGTGAGAAGGAGGTGAGAAATGTTGTCATGCAAACTCTAATGAGAAAGACTTTTATCCATGGGCACAGAAACAGTCACAAATATACATGTTGTTTACGGTTAGTTAACAATGTTTTTATTATTGAACATTTTCTGGCATATGGTTGATTATGTTGTTAGTCTTATGCTGTCAATCACTTTGCAGAGACATTACAGAATTTACAATAGCTGAGGATCTCATCTCTGACATGCAATATAAGCAAGGAAATAGCCTGTTAATGAATAGCACGAGTCGGGAGGGGGGTATGGAGATGGCGGCGGAGATACATGAAGCGTGGTATGCGATAAAATATTGCTATTGTTAGGCAGAGCTGAGGGAAAAGTGCTGCAGTGCAGAAAGAGCGTGGAGCCCTGACAGCTTTCCGGTGGCAGTCTGACGGCTCAGCACCGAGATTGGAGGGAAAGTGCAGCAGAGGGCCGCTGTCAGGCCACACCAGAGCTCCGTTTAACAAGGTCCAGGATGAGGCGCTCCACAACACACTGCAGCAAGGGAATCAGGCGGGAATGGGATTGAGGTGAGAGAGGAGGGGGCTAAGGTAGATGCACGCATTTTACTGAAGAGCTGCTGTACGCCTGTCATGTCGGTAAGCTTGGAATTCCTCACCTGGGCATAGAAGATTGGAAGTCCTCTGCAATCATTGGTGCTGACGACATTGCAGAAATTTGAAGCAGTGCCATGGATTAAATTCTCATAGGAGATGTGCAAGTGACATTTTGACACTTTGATTTATGTATGAAGCAAGGTCAAGCCTCAATAGACACACTTTTGGCAGTTTAAGGAACTTATTTCTTAAATATGAATTATTTTTATAGACAAAATTATGGGGGAAGAGTAATTAGCGCTGGCATGTGTTTGCACTTTGGTTAGTAGCTGTCTACTTCCTGTCACCCATGACTCTTCTCTATCCAGAGCCTTCAGTACATTAGTTCAGATGTGTACATTGTCAAGCAAGGAGACGAATCAGTGTGGAAATAATGATCAATTACTTGCGTGTAGTACTTGCATCTTAAAACTGACTCCGGGGCACCAGCAGGTAGCACCCAAGCTTATCCACAGTAATTAAGCTTGGGTTATTCCCATTATAGATTCCCAAAACATAGCCATACAATCATGATTGTATTTGTTTTATTATGAAAAACACAACTCAAGCATCACACCTCTTCAAGGCCTATCTCATCTTTGTGTAAAAACCTGTTCAGTGGTGACATGTGGTGCTTTAGAGCCACCTCTCCACCTCAGCCCGTAGGCATCAATCTCTGGGCCTGGCATGAAGTCTTATCTCCCAGCGTCAGGCTAAATGTCAACCTCAGGAATGCTGCCACACCGTTAGTTATGTCTGGCCTATAAGAGAAGGCTAATTCCACATAAAAGCCACCTGATTTGTAATGACTTCAGTTTCACATGGCTTTTTACCAGATGTTAAGAGTCCCACATCTGGTAAAGCAGCATGGGATGCATTTGTGTCAGTGGATCCATTGCAACATCACTGCAATCAGACATAATCCTCTCCATACTGGGAGGGTATTGTATAATGGCTTACGTGTTGTGGCATTTGAATAGGACCTTGGATAAGCCTAGTTAATTGTCACATGTATGAAGTGGTGGAAATATTGTACTACAATGAATGATGATCCAAGAATACAATTGTCTTTTGTGGGGTCTATTATATATAAGAGATTACCAGAAGAAAGACATTACAGCAATAACAGTATACATAATAACTTACATCTATACCAGAAGTGTCAAAACCGGTCCAGAAAGGGCCGCTGTGGCTGCAGCTTTTCTCTCAGACCCAGCAGAAGCTTTCATCAAATCTTCTGGTTAAGACTGAGCTTACTTGAAGAAATGGGAGGAGTCTGCTCTGCTCCTGCTGGGTCTGATGGAAAACCTGCAGCCACAGCGGCCCTTTCTGGACCGGTTTGGACACCTCTGATCTATACAATGCTTATACAGGTTTATTTCAGAACAGATAAAATGACATAAAAAACAGCACTATTTGTGAAGAAGAGTTCTAGACGGGAGAGACTTCTTATCCAACTGTCAATAGGCTCAATGTTATAAATGAAGATCTCACTCAGCAAGAAAGTTGTCAGCAATAGAGGGTTAGGAAATATTACATATCTACAATCTAATACATAATGCAAAGCAAAATTCATGAACATCGTTTTACACGTGTTATAGCAACAGAGAGGCGGCCGTGTGGGGCAAGGAAAAAAGACAGTATCCAAACCCCAAAAGATTTTGCTCAAAATATCTACTAAATATCTACCTATTTAGGGTCAGCGTGAAAAAATAGATACAAAAGACAAACTTTCCACAAGCACGTTTTAACTAAACTAGATTACACTTTTATTTGTTTCAGCAGATATGTTTTACCAAATGTGTTTTGCCAAATAAAATTTACCAAAAACGGGTCCGGCCCTCCAGATTATGCCAAAGTGGCTACCTGGAGACTATAGTATAACATATTTTCTATGGTCACCACATCATGTCACTTATTTATCTTTGCTGTACATTGACGATGAAGCATATTGATCTGAACATATTTTTGGAGACTATAGATGCTTAAAAGATTATCTTAGACAATGTGATATGCAAAAATCTGGTTTATTATTAACGCCAACTGATGTACACATTGTTTGACCACATGCAGGACACGCTTTTCTTACCATTCAAACCCCAACACATGCACTCCAGACCAAAAAAGTCCCAAGTTAAATATTTACAAATGAAAAATATCTGTACCTTAATCGGTTCTCCCAGTTTCTTTCCTAAGGGCTTTTATTCAATGTTCTCTAACGATTTTTCCTTCCTTCTCTCTACTCTTTCTGTGCAGGGGGGCGTCTCCTCATCCTGGTGATGTGGCTGAACCTCGTGCCTCAGACAGACTGCTGCCCTGCCAAGTGTGTGTGCTATGCCGAGCCCAAGCCCACGGTGGCCTGCCAACAACAAGGACTGTTCTCCATCCCCACTGAGATCCCTGTGCGAAGCCAGCGGATATTCCTCCAGAGCAACAAGCTGACCGTTGTTCGATCCACCAGCTTCAGCTCCTGCCATAATCTCTCAGTCCTCTGGCTCTATTCTAATAACATAAGCTACATTGACAACGGCGCCTTTTACGGTTTGGAAAAACTAGAGGAGCTGGACATTGGGGACAATGGCAACCTCCGCACCATCAGCCCCACAGCGTTCCGTGGTCTTACTAAGTTGCATACGCTTCACTTACATAGGTGCGGGTTGTCTGAGCTTCCCGTCGGAGTATTTCGTGGAATGTTTTCCCTGCAATACCTTTACCTGCAGGATAACAACATTCTTACCCTGTTTGATGATACTTTTCTGGACCTGGCCAATCTTACCTATCTCTACCTGCATAATAACAAGATAAAGATAGTCACAGACAACATGTTTCGTGGGTTGATCAACCTTGACCGACTGCTGCTACACCAGAATAGGGTTATTTATGTTGAACCGAGGGCGTTTAGTGATTTTGGCAAGCTGCAAACCCTCTACTTGTTCTTCAACAATCTCACTGTCTTAACTGGAGAGACTATGGAACCCCTAGTTGCATTACAATATCTAAGACTTAATGGAAACCAGTGGATTTGTGACTGCCGGGCACGGACCTTATGGGAATGGTTCAAGAGGTTCAAAGGTTCCAGCTCTGAGTTGGAGTGCTATGTTCCTGAGAAATTGGCACAACAGGACTTGAAAACCTTAAAGAGTGAAGACTTGGACCGTTGTGTGAAGAAGTCTCAAATCCAGACCGATCTCTTCAGCACCAAAGTCCAGTCAGGAAAATTCCCGTCCAGCGAAATCCCTATTGGGGACACTATTCCGAGGTGCTGTCTTGATAATGACAAGTCCTCCATCTTTTCTGGAAAATCCCACCATAATAACCCAGTGAAAGATGGGAAGGGGGACATGTCTAAGCCAAAATTAGGGGAATCCGAACGAACAAAAAATGAATCCCAGCACAAACAAAACGACGGTCCGCTTGGAACCTTGTCCAACACTCTGGAAAATTCCTCTATCCTCAGCCCAGAGTTTATAGACAATCCAGAATCCTCAACAGCATCAAATAAAAAGAAAAAGAAGTGTTTGAAAAAGCCCAAATCAGACGCCCAGTGCATCAAAGGCAGGGGTGCGTCTTTGCAAGTGCTGCGTATTCTCTTCATTCCCACCATCTGGATATCTCTAGCCATGTCCTAGGACTTTTTGGTCTCATAGTTGACACTGGACTAAGATTGTTGATGCTCATGACAATGACACAGAAGATGCAGTGACCTCTCCGGCAGACAGAGACTGAAAAAAACCTGGAGTTTCACTGACCAAACATGGCCAATGAAGACAAATAATAACAAGATAGAGTTTAATAAATGGATGCCTTTACAGAACTCTACAGAACTAATGTATATAATGATCGGTGCCCAAATGTTTGTTCTCTATGTACTTTATTGTACTGTGTCTAAGCTACACTTCGGAGGCTCCACCCTTTTTCCTTCTCAAAAGCTTTTACTGCTTGGACAAACCACTGGATGAGCGAAATAAAAAAATAAAAAGGAAGGTCAAATTTCAGGAAAAACAAGAACGAAAGCACACAAAGAATGCAGAAAGCACATGAAGAATGTTGGATTTGTTTGATGATTATAAACGATTTCCTCCCCATTATTTAATCAAAGTGATGCATTTGTTGGGTAATGTTATGTTTTTTTTATATTTTCAAAGCAAATGTTTTAGCTCCCCAGTTCAGTTTTTGGTTCTGTTATCATCACAGAGAGGGTTCAAGGGTAGCATTTCCGGAAAATAAATGCTATTGGTTTGTTTATTGAGATTGCAATGGAACCATAGATATGCATTTTATTTTACTTGTGTACAAGTATGAATATATTATGAATAAAAGTTCTTATTTCGTACATTGTTTGTGTGTTTTTTCATAAAATACCCATATCATCTCAAGTGTTTATGTTTTTAAAAGCATGATTGAATATGAAGTTTGTATTTTCACATTAGTGGGTGCGTTGTTGGGATAGTTGGCCTTGAATTGTTAAGTACTACAGTAACGGTATGCAATATGTGGAATTCCATGAACCACCTTTGTCCACTCTGATGATTGGGGGTAAAAAACAGATTGCATAAATCCCCTTCTCAATGTAGGACACAACAGAAGCAGCTGCATAGTTCAAAGGAGCACTTTTGCTGACACACACTTTACACTCTTCACCCCTGACGTAATCACCACAACATGCACTGGTCAACTCTGAACTCCAGATACCCTACTTGTGAGTAATTATATTATAAAAGCCCTTTTGATCTTGCATAAGTAGATAGTGTTCGGAATAGCATTTCTTAAGGCATTCTGCTAGATCAAACATATCAATGATTATGCCACAACAGCCTGTAAAAAACAAGGTTGCCATCACTGTCGACAAGCTTTTGATGTTGAATATTATTGGTAATAACGATGACTGCACTTTATGATGGCGCTTGAGGCATCGAAAAGAACTTGGCACATGAAGTTACAAACACATTTGAGTAAATTATTAAGCAGGGGGCAAAAAATCCTTGGGGAAAACTCAAAAACCAGCTCCTCACATCATAACCTTGGCTTTGCAAGCAAAACAACCCCTCAAGGCCGCATAATAAGTACTGTTTTGCTTTCTTGATATGCCATATATACACTATGAAATTTGAATACAAAGTAGTGTACGCTTGCTGATGTCACCTTGTCATGCAACATTGCCATTCGAGTGGTGGTTCTCGTGACAGCGTGGCCTAAAGGATAATGGAGACGCATTTACTCGGAATAAAGAACCTTGACAAAAAACATGGCTTTTATAGCTCACAAGAGTGAAAGGAGTAGAAGGACTGGTGTCAGATCCACAAGAGACTTCCATTGTCACTATTGGAAGTGAGACATGAGGTATCGATCTGGAGAAGAAATCAACACGGGCCGCTACCAACTAGCCTCACTTCCACACGGAACATCTTCCATCTCCCGTAGAGCGTAAATGACAAATTGAATTACAAATATGAACTGTATAAATTATCAGTGATGTATTGGTCTTATTAATGTAGGTTCATTCTTTCAGATTCACGTTTCATACCTCCCACTCCTTTTCTAACTTGAGTCATTGCACCGAGGCTGCTTCCCATCGTACCTACACAGGGAGTAGTATCGTCTCAGTATTGTCTTCACTCGATAAAACATCTGTTTTTTGTTTGTTTGTCATTATCGGGTACGGATGGATGGTTTGTTGAAGTATAAATCAGCCTTCAGGTGTTAAGGAATATTCATAAATGAGATTAAAATATAAATAGGAGAAAATTGCAAAACTATTTATCTACATTTTAATTATTAGTACCTCTGAGTTATTTTGCGATAATCAAAAAGCGTTCAAAAGTTTTACTTCAACAAATTATAAAATTAAACAAATAAAATGAATTGCAGATCCTTTTAGCAGTAAAACTATAACACATTTTGACACAAACACTAGCATTCCCCTTTAACTTGTGCATTTACACGTTTTAAAGTATTGTCTTTGGGTTACAATAATTACTGTTATTGAAGGACTCCAGTGACAGAGGAACACACTATTTTGCATGATTACTTTTTGCTAACATACCCAAAAGTACAACAATAATATAATTACTAACACTTGTCTGCGAGTGGTTTCCTTCATTGTAATCAAAGCATTATTTGTTTATCTTCTGGGATTAACTATTTCATCATAAACTTTATTGATAATTGTGATGATAATTTATCACACGTTTTTACACTTTTCCATCCCAAAGAGAGAAGAAGAGTGTGAATGTAGTGAAAACAGAGGTTTGGAGGCTCATGCAGTGAATGACAGCTCATACTCTGTTAGCCCCTGAGAGGCCAATTAGTCTGGGGCACTGCTAAACACTGCGTGAACCATAAGACAAGTTGCGTTTTTTGTTCTGGACACATTATAATGGCTATAGCAAGATTCAAAGTTAAAAGTTGTGTTTTTTTGTCTTAGTTTTTATTTTATTAATACAGTTTTTTAGATTGAGACAGTTTGCATATTCTCCAGCATACATTATCCTTTATGTATCATTATAATTCCGATGCAGGAGGGTCCAGGGACAGGGCGATGACACACACGCATTCAATTACATTTACAGAGTTGATCAACATTTATGGACAATTGTACTTGTTAGTTACCTATTGTAACTGTAGTTCTACGAATAGTGCGTAGCCCCTTAGGCTCGCTTTGGGTATGACTCCAGAAGCACCAGCTTCCCGCCAGAGAGAACTCAATGCTCCAATCACTGTGCAGAACCTCCTATAAATAGCCCACAGCAGTCCATGCTCTTCACTTTGAACTCGCCAAAGCCAGGTTGGACTGATGGGCCCGTAGCTAAGGGGCTACGCACTATTCGTAGAACTACAGTTACAATAGGTAACTAACAATTCTACTTCATAGTGCTATGCCCCTTAGGCTCGCTTTGGGTAACGAAGCGTAGCCTAAGAGTATGTACTCCCATCAGGCCAGCTAGCAGTGATTGGAGCCCTGCCGAGTAGGCCCTAACACCTCCAAGGTGTGGGAACTCAAGACAGACAGGGAATGAGCAGTGATGGGGCCGCTCCTATCAAGGACGCCCAAGGATAAGCTCAAAGGTGAAGCAGTGGTAGGGCCGCTCCTATCAAGGACGCCCGAAGCACTAACAGAATCCAAGAGGGAGGCCGTTCCAGGAACAGCCAAGTCTCTGACCAAACGCCCAAGGGCGAAGGTCACTTCCCAGGACGCCTCTATCAAGAGCTCCTGAGGAACACCGCGCGCGCCCCCGTAGGGGAACAAGGAACAGTCCCAGGCCGCCTCTACCAAGAGCACCTGAGGACTGCACAAAGCCGCGAAGGAAGAAGGAGAAGGCTGAGCCCAGGACGCCTCTATCAAGAGCTCCAGGAGGGGCCGGCCGCTCCAGACAACATAGACCGCAGAAGCCTCAGAGAGAGCCAGACACGGTCGCATCAGTCCCAGAGCTCAGGATGGAGTGAGCAACAGACCGCTCTGAAACATCCACCAGGTAAGACAGAGCAAAGGTGGAAGACGAAGCCCAGGACGCAGCCTGGCATACCTCCTCCACCGAGGCCCCTCGTAGCAGAGCTGTGGAGGCCGCCACGCCCCGAGTGGAGTGCGCTCGGAACCCCACGGGGGCACCATCCCCTGGGCCTGATACGCCGAGCGAATCGCCCGGGACACCCAGTGGGCCAGCCGCTGGGAGGATAACGGGGCGCCTCTGTTTTTAGGCCCCAAGCACACGAACAGCTGATCCGTGCGCCTGAAAGAGGACGTGACCTCCAGGTAATGCCTCAGCATCCTGATAGGGCACAACAGGTGTCTTTGCTCATCCTCCTGCGAGGCGTGAGGCGGAGGGTGAAAAGGTCTGATCCGTATGACCCTGGACCTGAAGGTTGAGGAAAATGACCTTGGGGAGAAAGGCCGGGTTGGGCCACAACTCCACCAACCCATCCCCCGGACCAAAGGACAGGCAGGCCGGGCTGATGGAAAGAGCGCACAGTTCTCCCGCCCTCTTGGTTGATACCAGAGCCAATAAGAGTGCGGTCTTGAAGGCCACGCATTCTGGGCTGGCACGGGTCAGGGGTTCGAAAGGAGGCCCTGACAGCCCTTTCAAAACCACCTTGAGGTCCCAGATCGGAGGTGTTCGTCTAAGGACCGGCCTCTTCCTGTAGGCCCCCCGAAGGAAGCGTTTGATTAACGGGTGGGAGCGGGCTGAAAACCCCCCGAACCCTTCGTGACCAGAGGCAATGGCCGAAGCGGACACAGCCAAGGTACTAGCGGCCCTGCCCTTATCCAAAAGGTCCTGCAGGAATCCCAGGACGCCCTCTAGAGGGCAAGACCTGGGGTCCCACGAGTGGGCCGCGCACCAGTCTTTGAAAAGCTTCCACCGGCACCCGTAAGCCCTCACGGTGGAAGGTGCCCTCGCCCCTTGGATGGTATCCACCACCGCCCGGGGGAGGCCTAGTCGGACTAGGTTCTGCCTCTCAGTTTCCAAACCCAGAGCCTGTGGCCCAGGACTGGGCGGGAGCGAAGCGTCCCCCCTCCCTGGACCAGGCCCCCTGGCACGTCCGGGAGAGGCCACGGGTCCATCACAGACATGTTGGTCAGGAACGGGAACCAACGGGCCTGTGGTCGGTCTGGGGCGACCAGGATTACCTCCCG